CTCCCCAAAACCCCAAAACCCCAAAACCCCTTATTAAATTTTATGGCTTGAAACCTTCGAATAAAACATGCCTAAAAGTCTATCCACAACCACTAGAGGTTGGTTGAGGTTCAAAAGCATGCATGCTTGATGAGCCAATGGATCAAAGTGTCTGCCATAGAGATTTCTATTTTTTAAGCTTCTCTTAGGAATGAAAACATGACATCCTTTGAGTAGATTCATTAGTGATATTTCCTCAAGCAATAAGACCAAGGTGAATCTTTGGTAAATTGTTTCAGATAATTTCTTCTAATATTTTTCATTGCTAAATTTGATACCTTGGACTAATAGTTGCTAAAAATAAGTCTCTATTTGTCCATTATTGCATAAAACTATGAATCCTTTGTCTTAGCTGCACATAAAATGGGTAATTTTTAGTTAAAATTTATTCAGACCATATCTTGAATGAAAAATTTCATGCAAATTTCAGAAATTCACAGTATTTTAATTCTTCATCAGATTCTTGAATCAATAAAAATACCTATCTTCTTGTGCAGCTCTACTCCTCTAAAAGGTCCGTAAGGAAGAGTAATGCAAGGAATGAGTCCTTAAGAGAGTCTAAACTTGTTGTCTTCGCAAAATATGAGCTAGATATGACCTCATTAGCTACTTCAAGAGCAAACCATTGCTGTAAATAAGAATAAGTAATTAAAACAACTTTGAAAAGTGATTGACAAGTTCATGAGCTTCAAACCTGAGAAATCTCTAAAACGAGGGGTGCCCAAGACTTGAAAATCTGTCATCATTTTTATTTGAATATTACATCGTTTTTGTCGTTGATGTCGTTTATGAAGTATGCATATGAACATTTAGAAACCACTTCAAACTCATGAATCTATTTTAGATTTTCTTGAAAGTTTTTAAGTTCTTAAACTATTCTTGCCAAAAGTTCACCGATGAGTTGTATACTTAGTTTTGTGTCATAAGCCACGATTTTTTACAGGATTTCTTAAAAAATTATTGGATTTCAAATAGTTTAAAATCAATACTAGATTCAAGATATCCAAAGAATTATGCCGATTTTAGTTGCAACAAAGACTGGGAGAATGGAAGATATTTAAAGAGGTCTAGAATACCCCTGTAATACCATATTAAGGCCTATTTGTAGTCATAATATTCCCAAACTCAATATTTTTAGGAAAATGAATTTCTCCTTTTGAGCATCCAAATTACCTTAAAACCAATTAAAAAGTTAATGGACTAGATTTTTATTAAACTAATGATATCTCTGCGAAAAAATTCCTAGCTGAAAATTTTGAGCGATAAAGTTTCATAGTCAGAATCGGAGTCAGAGAAAGAAAATCTTGCTGCTTGAAGGAAAAGACTTGCAGTCTTTTCTTTTCAGTCACAGATTTCAGACTGGTGAATCCATACGTCTTAAAATTATTTAATATTATTTGTGAATTTTATAACCATGAAATCACTGGGGAGGCACTCTTCAGCGTCGATTAACATATTTCTCAAACTCTATTGCTTAAAGAGACACCGAGGATGTCTTATTTCGATAATTTAATCAATATTTCAGGACCAAGTCACCATATTTTTAGAAATATTTCAGACTTGTTCAAGAGCTTTCGAAACTTCGGTAAAATATTATCTATGAGTTTAGAAGCTCATTAGGAGCATTTTTAATATTTTTAGCATACCAAGAGAAGTCGGATTTTTCATAACTACAAATTGGCGCATCTTCCCGAAAGAAGTGTCTTAGAATAAAAATTTAGTTTTTACACAATTTTTCAATAATATGGAAGTCTCCAATATTTTTGAATTATTCGAACCATTAAAACTTTAGAAACTTTAAGAGCCATAAGTTCTGCAAGGATTATGAACCAGTGATTTCGGTCATGCTAATATCTAATATTTCCTCAGTGAATTAGGCTGGGTTATGATAAGCTTCCTCCTTTAAAGGATCTGTCAACTCTTCATTTGGATAAACAAAGTAATGATGATTTAATTTCCAGAAATAGGAAACATGGTATTTTCACTGGTCTTTTAAACTCTTGTGAAGGTATTGAGACAAATGAGACTAAGATGAAAATTTAGAATAAATTGCAATAACAAAGATGATTGAAGCTGATCTCTGAAGGTTCTTTCATTTAAAAAATTTGGTACTTTTTCAAGTTCATTGCCTGTTGTTACTTGAGACACTTCTACATATCTTGTCATAAGCATTATTTGTATCCAGTTTTCATTCCCAAAAGATATGAATAATATTTTTGAAAAAACTTAACTGAAATACTTTTTCTTAATAGATTAAATAGGGTTATCTTTATTGACTGTTTATGACAGCTTTCATAATTCGAAGGAACACTCCTAAATTATTAACTTTTGATTCTCAGAAGAAAGCCTCGCGAAATAAGCATGAATACTCTACAAAACTGCTTCAAAGTTAAAAGATGCTTAAAAAGATTCATTTTTCTCCCTTACGCATAAGATGTGAATAGTCTTTTTATTAATAATGCCACAAATGATAGTTGTTCCTCAATCACTCTTTTTCTCTACCCAAGATGACTGCACGTTTGTTGCATTGTTGAATAAGAAGGCTTGTGTTTCTTCTAAATTAGCGATCTCTTAACTAAGATCATAGACACAAGCCCTTTACAAGCTTTAGTAAACCTATTCTTTCATTACTATTATTCATCTGAGCTCCATCCTTTGTCAAGATAGTAATAAATCTATTTAACCGCAAAAGAAGTTAAAGTTTTGTCATCCTAATGCCTATTTTACTTGGTAAAAAGAGAGGCTAGTCCTTTACTTTCCTGAGTTATTCCGACATGGGTTTGTTACTCACTTTGAATATATTAAGGATAGTACTGTTAGTAACCAACGGGATAGCCGGTTTCAGAGATATTAATAACTATACTATGAAAGAATATTGAGGTGTTTCTACTTGTAAGCTAGGACCCTCTCATGGTCTCAATCTATAGCTTTTGCAAGCTATAATTTTGTGGCAAGTATAAATATGTAGGATCATTTTTTCTGTAGAATCTAAGCTCAGTTTTCAATTAAATATGAACACAAGTCTTTTAGTAAAGGAAATAGGATTTTTGATAATCTGGGAATTCACTGGAAAAATTCATAAGTCATTTGCGACAAATGAGAATTTAGCAGGTGAGAAAGTAGCTCATGGGTCTCATAAGTTATACTATCTTTGATAGGCTCCCTTTAGTAGAGGAGAGAAATCTAAATAAGAGGAGTCAGAGGGCATTTTAGGGTCTGTTGGCGTCGTCTAAAACTTCTGATTTGAGAAATGGAATTTATTCGAAATGTAGTCTAAATCTTGGGAATTTAAAAAATATTTAGCCTTAAAACCAATGCGAAGCAGTCAGAGAATCCTATTGGGAATTTTTGTAAGAATAGGCTTATCATTGGGATATGAGTCTTATCCAACTTCAATTATAACCTAGAGTGATGCATCTCCGGTTAAGTCTAAAAGAAACATCTTCATGCTGTTTTTGGTGTAAAAGATAAGAATCAGAGAGTGGTTATAAATTAAAAGTTATGAGAATTAAATTAAAGCAGTATCTATCCAAAGTTTAGGACCTAGCTTTCATGTAATCAAAGATTTTGATTAAGTAATCAGGGTCTCCCCTATCATCAAACCATGGGTGAGTTGTCATAGTCTTAATATCTGGCCTATCTCCTGGATTCTTTGCTGTACACCTTTCTATCATATCATAAACCATCAAGTCAAGGTCTTCAAGATTACCAATGTACACATTTGAAGGAGAGCAAATATAGTCAGACTCTTCTTCAGTTGAGGAAGAGCAAGTTTCAGAGTAGAGAGGAATCTTCCCAGTCACCAAGAAATAGAGAGTTCATCCCAATGCAAAAATATCTGCAATGAAAGGACTATATGGAGCATCTTTTGAAGCTTTGAACACTTCTGGAGCCATATAAGATTTTGTTCCGAAGCCTTTTGTAATGCCGTATTGCTTGCTTTGTAAAGCGAAGGCTCATCCAAAGTCTCCAAGCTTCAGGTTAAAGTATTCATCAAGAAAGATATTTCCAGGCTTAATGTCACAGTGAGCTATATTTTTGTCATGAAGGTGTTTTATGGTATAAACCAGTTGCTTGAAATAGAATCAGGCTTCACTTTCACCAAGAGGTCCATTTCTCTTAATGAAATCAAACAAACTCCCATTTGGGCAGTACTCCAAGACGTTATATGAAACTTGATCAGTAACTCCAAGATAATCATGAACTCCTTCAGAGTGAGACTCAATGAAGTTGATAATATTAGGGTGGAATCCGACTTTCCTGATAATCTCAGCTTCCCTTAAAACCAGTTTCTTTTCTTGTTCTCTCTCGAGGCCTTTATCTTTCCTTACTCACTTAAGTGCAACGCTTTGACCATCAAGATCGGAGAGGAACACACTAGAAGTGCCTCCATAGCCGATGTTGGTTTTTAGCTTGTATTTTACATCAATATTTGGAAGTGTATCGTGAAACTAAAATCCAGATTAGAGTTACTCCAAAAGTCGTAAAAATGTCTAGAATCCTGCTCCTTTATATTTCAGGACAATGGCTCTTAATACCGAAGGTAGGTTGACCCGGTGAACACAGTAAGAACATAATTCTAAATTGGTGCTTACCATTTTTTATTTGAATTTAAGTATTTTATTGATAAGTTATAAAAAATTCATTTCGATAAATTATGCTGGGGTTTTGGGGTTTTGGGGTTTTGGGGTTTTGGGG